GCGGATGAGCACACCGCGGCACACGTGATCCAATAATACATAATATATTTTGTCAGCCAGACACCGCGCAGACTTGTATGTAGACCTGTGTATATATTTCCAAGTATATAAGTACTTGCACAAGACCGGTGACGGGTTAACGTATACAACGATTTGTTTTTGAAAAATCGATCAGGACATGAAAAAAAAACACCATGTAGTCGTCGTGTCGGCGATGATAGCGAAAAATCCTCTAAACAATATTTCCTTATAATAATATTACTATGACGTATCTTAAGACAATCTTAAGATCATGAGCCATCGCGTACCACCGCACAGCTGAAAGAATATTGTGACACACACTGCAAAAGCATAACATGCGATATTACTAAAAAATATATTTGCATAAAAAAACAAACCAGTAAACTTGTGAAATACAAAATCATTTTATTTTACAATATTGTGTAGTTTGTGTTCCAAGTTGTATAAGACGGGTTACACGCCATGGCTGTGGCGTACAGCTGCTTGGAGTATATACAATTATTTTATACAAAAATAATATAAGTTTTGTGAAAATTGTTAATGTATGATAACATTATATGATATGTGAACGTTTCAAATGAATAACGATATAAATTACAATGACACTGACGATTATCCATACTAGAAACAGCGGCACAAATACCATGATAGTCAGAAGTTTCAGCAACAGTGCATAAGAAGTCAATACAAGTAGCAAAGGTGCAATAGCCGTGAGTAAGAGTACCAGTAGGACAATACCAGAAAAAAGCAGCATAATAGCTACTGCACTGACCACAACTCCGTAACACACCTTTGCGAATAGGCCTTTGCCCATTTCTCGGATGCCAGTCAGAATGGTCTTTCCAACAACCTGTTAAATACATTTGAAGAATACAACGATAGAGTTAAATTCAAAAATTAATTTTAAACTTACAAGTTCTGGTTAGTGGGGTAGGTATATAACTGTTAAAAACAAAATAATATGTAAATTTCTAGGAGAAGTTTATTACCTGTGTGTCGACCTGCAGGATCGGCAAATTTGGTTTTCCAAATTCAATAAGTGAAGTTCCGTCAAGGTTTTTGACTTCGGGCAACACCATGACAAAACCAGGGTAGGAAATTATATCTACACTGCAGTGCAAATGGCGGCTGTCCATCGTCAAATTCCAACTGACTTGTTCTTCCTTATATAACTTTTTGAGAGAGGTATTTTATATTTTAATAGATTTCGGAGAAACTTTTAAGCGCAAAATATTTAAATTTCTATGTAAAGTTTAGTACCTGTGTGTCGACCTGCAGGATCGGCAAATTTAGTTTTCCAAATTCAATAAGTGAAGTTCCGTCAAGGTTTTTGATTTCGGGCAACACCATGCCAAAACCCGGGTAGGAAATTATATCTACACTGCAGTGCAAATGGCGGCTGTCCATCGTCAAATTCCAAATGACTTTATGTAGTCCTGATTGGCTCATTGTTCCAACCAACACAACGACCATCAACACAAAAACCGTAAAACACAGGTTATACATATTGTATTAACTGTAAGAAATCCTTCGAAACAGGAAAAATGAGCAAAAACGGTTCGGAGAAATATGTTGTTTAACACTGAAATGGTGCGGTGATACAAATGTAAAACAGTTACGTTATAAACAAGCCGTTTTTAATACACATGTACCTATATTAGTAGTATTTGCCAGCATATATAAATATATAGAATGTTTTATTTTAAATAACATCTGTTCTACTTTTTACCGCGAATAGTTTCGAAGTGTATTTTACACTTGTTGTAGGTATAATATGTTAGACCTATCTTCAGACTTATAAAATCTATAGAAATCACTGTGATAGTCTGACAATCAAAAAATTATCATTACATCCTCATTACTGTACACATATTTATTAAGTATACATTAAAGTCGAAATTCTTAATTATTATTAACAATAATAATATTTTTTTTTTCACAGGTCTAATATATTATGATACACTTGTTTAAATCTAACCTAACCAAATTAGTATACTAAATATTTATATATAAAACGCAGCATTAATGAAAACACATTTATAAGTGTATATTCTACTGCACTTTAGGTACAATGTTAACATTTTTTTTAAGAATATTGTTAAGTGCATTATTATGCATATTATGTCGTTCGTGTACAGTGTATGAACTGTCGGGCTCCAAGTCTAATCTAACATGAAGATATATTATTATATATTTTCTACGGTGTATCCAACTTGATCTGTACATTGCACACTGGAATAAGACGTATAAAGATATCTCGGATGATAAAACCGAATGACACGTGGCCCATCCGTGATTGACGGGTCGTCGATGATTTACTATGGTAAACGCAAGTATAAGCAATGACCGGTATCGGGCGCTTTATGGTACGGTTAGGTTACAGGCAGTCATAGTCATATCAGTCAATAGTGCCCGGCCTGAATAATTGTGAAAAAGTAATTACCGAATCAAAAGCTGCCTGGAATAAAATTAATCATAAAAAAAAAATGCAAATATTGACTTCCAACAATGTACAAACCGAACGATATTATCATCTCTGTACATCAATAGGTAATAGTAAAGTATAAGCAATTTTTCATAAAAATCTTAATTTATAGCTTCAACAATAGTGTATACAGCAATGAGGATACTTAGTATTGATTGCCATTTTTTTATTTTTAGACTATCACAGTCATTTCTTTAGGAAAATTACAAATGTTTTCCCATCAAAACTGCTGTAGTAACATAAAGCATATGTTTAAGTTTTAACTATATTTATTAAACTATCATTTTGTAATAACATATTATATATTCAAATTTATACTATATGTGACATTTTTATATAACTATCATGTTATTATTATTCAATATACAACGCGCGTAGTGTGATATAGAACCTCTTTGAATAATTTCAATAAACTTAAAATACTCTAATAGATAGCGTACATACTCATTTTAGGCGTAACATTTACATAACAATAGGTTCATTAAAGAAGGAGTCAAACACACGACTCGACACGAACTTATCCGAGACGAACTTAACCAACACAGAAACGCACTATTTAACCCAGCCCACAGCGCAGCGAAGCGCAGTTGCTCTCTCACATCTCTCATACAACCTTCCTCTCCTTATTGTGTGGACGCCAAAGTCGGGTAGCTGTTATCAGTCCGCCGCGGCCACCAATATCCTTTCTTTCCTTATTGTGTGGACGCCAAAGTCGGGTAGCTGTTATCAGTCCGCCGCGGCCACCAATATCTTTCCTTTCCTTATTGTGTGGACGCCAAAGTCGGGTAGCTGTTATCAGTCCGCCGCGGCCACCAATAACATTGTTGAGGCTATAACAGGTAATGGAGCGCAATTCTATGCCGGTTATCGCCAATGATACAGATGCCCTCTTATCTTGGTTGTCGCGGCCGTCCACACCACTCCGTCCTACTCCGCACGATCTATACTGGCAATACTACCGGTCAGCTGTTCACACACACACACACACACACACATATACGCACCGGGTTATACTATGTAAACAAATGTGCCACGCCCGTATTATCAGTGTTAGTAGTGCACTTGTTGCATTCTTGAATTTTAAAGTATAATATTAATCTAGACTTTTTTGTGTGTTTTTCTTCAGTGTTTTTTAGTTTTAAGTGTTATTATAGTATTTTTAAGCCATAAGGGCACTGTGATTTTTTATTATTGAGTTGTCATAAGGACAAAAAATTGTTTATTATTGTATTTTTAAGCCATAAGGGCATTATTGAGTTGTCATAAGGACAAAAAACTATTTTAATATTTTTGTTTTGTTGTTCACTTTACTTTGTGTCTAGTATTATTTAGGTTTAGGTAGCAGCCCTGGCCAGCGGTTTGCAGTTCTTCGGTTTGTGAGTACTTTTTATTTATACCATATTTTATTGAGTTTGTTTTATTTGTATTTTAGTTAACTACTGTGAATTATTGGAACATATTTTGATCTCATTTACTAAATACAAGTTAGGGCGATAGACATAAGGTTAATCGTACCATCTATATTGCTAGTTAGCCATAAGGGTTCAATCTAGTCAATATTTGTATTTGTGAATAATTTTTGTTGTTCTAATAACCACCTTAGTTATCAAAATACTTTTAACGTCATAAGCTTTAAGCACTCACTTAACCTTACCTTTTAATCTAGTCATTACTATATTAATTATTTATTTGTGTTTGTGAATTATTATTCACAGACCAGATTAATTTATTATTGTGCCAAAAGGGCAATTAATTTCTTTTTAGTTTACCAATCTTTTTTTTTATACTAATTATTTATTTGTGTTTGTGAATTTTATTCACAATTGTATCTTGAGCCAAAAGGGCTAATTATTTATTTATTACCATTTGTTATATCATTTTATTGAATATTATTATTATTGTTATTATCATCGAGTTTGAGTTTTATTTATTTAGTTTTTAGTTATAGTTTTAAGTTTCCTACACATCCACACTATACACACTAAACACACTTTTGCATCACATAGCTCACTGGTCTTGTGTAGGCGATCCCTCACACTTCCAGTGAGACTATTTACCCCACTAGCCACACAGCACTGATCGGTAAGTGTAAGGCAATTGGTAACCGGGTAAGTGGCCTACTATTGTCCGCCCCCGGCCCGTTCATTTTGGTGACCTCGACGTGATATTTTTTATTTTTTATACCGTTCTAGTGTTCTGTGTTTTGTTGTTCAATTTTGAATTTTATTTTGTGTGTTGAATCATTTCTATTGAGTTATTTTGTGAATTTTAGTAAACTCTTGGAAACGCGTTACCAAATTTAATAGTGTTTTTAATTAAATTTCTTTAGTAAATAAAAAAGTAATAGTAAAATTGAGTGATTTAATTTGAGACTGAGTAACTAACCAATTTGGGTACTTCAATTTCGTTATTATTTTATATTATTTTTTTGTCTTATTTGGTATTTAAAATCTGTGTTTTTCGATATTATTCTGCTTCGTTCTAATTCATCAAAATGGTACTAGACGAAAACGCACAAAAACTGTTGACAGAATTAAAACGAAAACGAGGCGTTGTTAAAGCTTCACTTACGCGCGTTCGAACATTTATTTCAAAATTCGATCCATCCGAACAAGCTTTATCACTACTGGAGTTCAGACAGGAAGAGCTTCCTCAAATAAATCGTAAGTTTGATGGTATTCAATGCGAAATTGAACTTATTGATTCTGATGACACTGAAGAAGCTGAGTTGGAAAGGGATAGATTTGAAAGTGAATATTTTGCAATACGATCACAAATCCAAGAAATTATCAATCAAGAAAAGGGATTAAATACAACGGGCCACAATCAATCGTACGGTGGCACATACGTTCCGGCTCGAGTTCAATTAGCGCCAATTCCTTTACCCAAGTTTGACGGCGATATTCAAAAGTGGTCGTCCTTTTATGACGTCTTTAAAGCTATGGTGCACAATGATGACGCATACTCAGTTGCTCAAAAGTTCTTCTATCTGCGTTCGTGTTTAGAAGGATCAGCATTGGATTTAGTGCGCTCAATTCCTGTTAGTGACGCCAATTACGAAACTGTTGTCAGGCGGTTAATACAAAGATTTGACAATCAAAGCCTGGTGATACAGTCACATATTCAGTCTATACTCGACTGTCCTCAAGTCGAAGAAGCATCCTCTGAGACAATAAACGAATTATACTCCTGTGTATGTACTCAGGTTGCAGCTCTTAAGGCGTTAAATCAACCAGTTGAGCATTGGGACGCATGGTTGATAACAATTGTAACTAGCCGTTTGGATAAGGGGACCGCCCATTCATGGCTGCTGCACCAGAAAAACACTAAATTGCCAAAATATTCGGACCTCGAAACATTTCTTGCTAGTCGATGTGTCGCATTAGAAGCTTCAAGGACCCGATCTAAGCCTACGGGGGGAGCGTCAACGATCTCCAACGTTAAGAAGAGCAATTTGGTGCCAAAAAGGTCCTTGGTAGTTTCCAGTGCAACAGAATCATGTCATTGCTGTTCTGGAAATCACAAGCTGTATTTTTGTGACAAGTTCAAGGGATTTTCATTAGCTGAGCGTCTCTCATTCGTGCGAAAAGAATCACTCTGTTTCAATTGCCTATCACCTAGACACTTATCTAATGCATGCAAGTCAATTTATACTTGTCGTTATTGCAAACGAAGCCATAACACATTGTTGCATTTTGAAAAGCCCAAAGATGTGGCCAAGCCTAAGGCGGACGATGGTACGGTTTCCTCTCCAAATCAAAGCACTGCACTCTTAGCTGGTGATGGCCGAGCTCATGTTTTTCTTGCTACCGCTGTCATTATAGTTCTTGACAAATTTGGAAATAAATGCCAATGTCGAGTTATACTCGACAGTGGCTCACAAATTAATTTCATATCTAAAAGATTGGCAACCTTGCTACAATTACCGGCAAGAAAGACCTGTTTACCAATAAGTGGAATAGGCGCAAAGCAAGTCCAAGCAGCATCGTCCATAAATATTAAGGTGTCATCTCGAGTAAGTGACTATGAAGTGGACCTACTTTGTTATGTATTACCAAATATTGTCTCTGCGTTACAATCATGTGCTGAACCTCAGGGAGGATGGAACATACCATCAGAGCTGATTCCACAACTGGCAGATCCAGATTTTGACAAACATCGGGCAGTTGATCTTCTGATAGGCGGTGGCATATTCTTTGATATTTTGGGCACTGAGCGACGGATGCTTCTGCCTGCAGCCTTGTGCTTGCAAGAGAGCCAATTTGGATGGGTAGTAACTGGTGAATTAGAGGCCACTTGTTTATTAGGGATCAACTCTGTGGGTGAAGCCCTTGAAGAAGATTGGAAGGCATTACTGCTAAGAGAGGATTCAGGTTATGGTCAGACATCTAAGTCAAACTTGAAGAGTTTAGAGGAGACAGAGACTGTTCAGCATTACCACGAAACTGCCATGCGAAACGAAAATGGACGTTTCGTTCTTCGTTTACCGGTCAAGGAAACCGTGCATAAATTGGGAAACAGTATAACAATGGCGACATCACGGTTCTTTAGTGTTGAAAGACGACTGCAACGCGATCAGCATTTGCGCACGGAATACATCAAGTTCATGCAAGAATATTTGGATATGGGACACATGAAATGCGTATCTAATGAAACAACAATCCCGGACAGATCATACTATTTACCACACCATGCAGTGCTGAAGACATCCAGTTTAACAACAAAACTTCGCGTAGTGTTTGACGCTTCAGCAAACAGTTCTTCCGGGTTATCTTTAAATGATGTACTTAAGCGTGGTCCAACAGTGCAAGAAGAGTTATTTGCTATTTTGGCCCGTTTTAGGAAATATCAATACGTGATAACATCAGACATTGAAAAGATGTTCAGACAGATTGAAATCTCAGAGCAAGACTGGGACCTACAACGAATTTTATGGAGAGCGGATCCCAGTAAGACTCTTCAGACCTATCGTTTAAATACTGTCACGTATGGGACAACACCTGCCTCATTTTTATCCACCCAATGCCTTATCAGTCTTGCAGAACAAAATGAGCAAACGTATCCCAGAGCATCAAGTGTCATAAGACAAGACTTCTACATGGACGACTTAATGACTGGCTGTGATACTGAAGCAGAATGTCTCCAATTGCAGCAAGAAGTAAGCACAATACTGGATTCTGCAAAAATGCCATTGCGTAAGTGGTGTTCTAACTCAGAGTCCGTGTTAAAAGGTATTGGAAAAAATGAACAAGACCCACTTTTCACACTGGATATTAGCGATGATGATACTGTCAAATCATTAGGGCTGGGTTGGAAACCATTCATTGATGACTTCCGATTCAATATAATTGCCATTTCTAGAGATACTAAATTAACTAAGCGGACACTGTTATCTCAGTTAAATAGGATATTTGATCCTCTAGGGTTTCTCTCACCAGTCCTCGTTAAAGGAAAAATATTTCTCAAACAACTATGGCAGCTGAAGGTTGACTGGGATTCGCCACTTCAAGAGGAATTGCAAAAACGATGGCGCCTTTATTACTCTGAGTTAGAAAAGCTTAAGGAATTATCTATTCCCCGAAAATGTATTTACAATGCTAACGCCTTAGTTGAGTTACATGGATTCTGTGACGCATCTATGGAAGCCTATGGTGCCTGCATTTATGTTCGTTCATTAGGCTATGACGGGAAATGGCATGCACAGCTTTTGTGTTCAAAGACTCGAGTTGCTCCACTTAAAGGAGTGACTATTCCTAGATTGGAGCTAAATGGAGCAGTACTGTTAGTGCAATTAGCATACAAGGTTGCAGAGTCATGGAAAATAGATGTGCAATCATTTAAACTCTGGACAGATTCCATGATTGTACTCGGTTGGCTGAATAGTGATTCTAGTAGATTAAAGACATACGTGGCTAACAGAGTCGTTCAAATACTTGAGGTATCGACTGCGGAGCAATGGCGACATGTGAGAACCGATGAGAATCCTGCAGACGTTGTCTCTAGAGGTCTAAGGCCACAGGAATTAGTCGACAACAACATATGGTGGACGGGCCCGAGCTGGCTTTCGGAAGACGAGAGTGGTTGGCCACGTATCGCAAACGTAAGGATGGCAGAGGACGACGTGCCTGAACTGCGAACAATTCGGTTAGCTTTAACTGGCATGATAGTGCCAGAAATGGACATGCTACAACATCATTCGGAGTGGAGCCGATTAAAAAGAGCTGTCCACTTAGAGCCTGTGGAAGATCTCACGAGTAGTGCATTTATTGCTAGCCTGCGACGGTTCATGGCACGTCGAGGCAAGTGCACTAAAATCTACAGCGACAACGGCACGAATTTTGTGGGAGCACAAAAAGAGCTAAGTCCTTGTTTAGCTGGTATCGACGACAAGATGGCAAAAGAGGGAGTAGAGTGGCATTTCAACCCACCATCCGCCCCTCATTTCGGTGGTTTGTGGGAGAGCGCAGTAAAGACGACAAAGTTCCACTTAACACGCGTGATAAAGGATGCTCGTCTAACTTTAGGAGAGTTAACCACGTTGTTGTGCCAGGTGGAAGCGTGCGTTAACTCTCGGCCTATGACACCGCTTAACAGTGACCCTTCAGAAGCGGAAGCAATCACCCCAGCTCATTTCTTAATTGGTGGCCCAATGATGATACCACCAGAAGCGAACATACCCGAAGAGGACGTTCAACATCTACGTCGTTGGCGCTTTGTGCAAGGCTTAATGCAAAGCTTCTGGAGGCGATGGCATGCCGAATATCTACCACAACTTCAGGTGCGAGGCAAGTGGACTTACCAGAAAAAGGACCTAGTAGTTGGAGACGTGGTTATTATAAAAGAGGACTGTACTCCACCAACAAAGTGGAAGCTAGGACGAGTAGTGCAACTACACCCAGGGAAAGATGGCACAGTTCGAGTAGTCACATTAAAAACTGCCAATCGAGTCAGAAGACAACCAAGATGAATAGTATTGTGGTTGAAACTTAAGGTTTCAACGGGGGGAGGATGTTGAGGCTATAACAGGTAATGGAGCGCAATTCTATGCCGGTTATCGCCAATGATACAGATGCCCTCTTATCTTGGTTGTCGCGGCCGTCCACACCACTCCGTCCTACTCCGCACGATCTATACTGGCAATACTACCGGTCAGCTGTTCACACACACACACACACACACACATATACGCACCGGGTTATACTATGTAAACAAATGTGCCACGCCCGTATTATCAGTGTTAGTAGTGCACTTGTTGCATTCTTGAATTTTAAAGTATAATATTAATCTAGACTTTTTTGTGTGTTTTTCTTCAGTGTTTTTTAGTTTTAAGTGTTATTATAGTATTTTTAAGCCATAAGGGCACTGTGATTTTTTATTATTGAGTTGTCATAAGGACAAAAAATTGTTTATTATTGTATTTTTAAGCCATAAGGGCATTATTGAGTTGTCATAAGGACAAAAAACTATTTTAATATTTTTGTTTTGTTGTTCACTTTACTTTGTGTCTAGTATTATTTAGGTTTAGGTAGCAGCCCTGGCCAGCGGTTTGCAGTTCTTCGGTTTGTGAGTACTTTTTATTTATACCATATTTTATTGAGTTTGTTTTATTTGTATTTTAGTTAACTACTGTGAATTATTGGAACATATTTTGATCTCATTTACTAAATACAAGTTAGGGCGATAGACATAAGGTTAATCGTACCATCTATATTGCTAGTTAGCCATAAGGGTTCAATCTAGTCAATATTTGTATTTGTGAATAATTTTTGTTGTTCTAATAACCACCTTAGTTATCAAAATACTTTTAACGTCATAAGCTTTAAGCACTCACTTAACCTTACCTTTTAATCTAGTCATTACTATATTAATTATTTATTTGTGTTTGTGAATTATTATTCACAGACCAGATTAATTTATTATTGTGCCAAAAGGGCAATTAATTTCTTTTTAGTTTACCAATCTTTTTTTTTATACTAATTATTTATTTGTGTTTGTGAATTTTATTCACAATTGTATCTTGAGCCAAAAGGGCTAATTATTTATTTATTACCATTTGTTATATCATTTTATTGAATATTATTATTATTGTTATTATCATCGAGTTTGAGTTTTATTTATTTAGTTTTTAGTTATAGTTTTAAGTTTCCTACACATCCACACTATACACACTAAACACACTTTTGCATCACATAGCTCACTGGTCTTGTGTAGGCGATCCCTCACACTTCCAGTGAGACTATTTACCCCACTAGCCACACAGCACTGATCGGTAAGTGTAAGGCAATTGGTAACCGGGTAAGTGGCCTACTATTGTCCGCCCCCGGCCCGTTCAAACATAATCCTTCCTTATTTTCCTTACACATACATACGCCGAGTCCGTAGCGATATATATATAAAAATACTATATTCATTACAATTCAATTACTTAAAACCGTACGAGTTTCTTATCACACACGTGTCATTATTAAGCAATAAAAACACTGTTGTTCTTTCGTTCATACATATACCTATACCTATACCTCTTAAAAGTGTCGTTAAAGGTCATTAATTCTAGCGGTCGAACAATCCTATTACACCCATGTGACTATTTTTGGTCAGCAAGGAATGTAGTCGGCTTATAATAACTCAGTAGACGTTGTTATTTCTGACAAGCGCATTGATTATTATAAAACCATTGGTAGACCGTGTACTGAATTACACTTTAACGAGAAACAGATGGTCGTAAGATAACGTTAAAACACCAGTGTCTGAAATATTTTATGAATGAAAACATTCGTGTTAAAACAACGTTCATTTCGACATATTAAGATCACATACTCAAGGAATATCGACAAGGTCATAGAGCTTCGAGTAACTCCACGACAAGGTATGTACTATATACAATATTATAACACTGTGTAATAGTAAGTCTAGAGGCAGGAAGTGAGCCCTTGTAGTAAACATACACACATGCACACCCCGATTAAGAGACGTTTACACACTTATTTAAAATATCCATTCACCGCCGCTTCCCCGTGCTTTTCTTCTATTACAGTATGATTGTTGATGTAAAATATTTCAAGATGCATTTTCAATATTTTTTGTACTGTAATTCGAATATTACACTTTGGTTAGATTAGATTAACTTATAATTTGTGCTATTCATTCTATTATAACTAATTTAGGTACATTTCATTTGTTTTTTACTATCGAGTTCACAGGATACACAAACATATAATTTTTCTACAATTTTGGACTTTTGACAAACCAGCAGACCTCTTTAGTATACCGCGTGTACCTTTCATGATTAAATTCTAATTCTAATTCTAAACGTACAATACCAAATACTGACATAGATATGATTTCTCAACAGATTACGATTCTAATGACCAATATCTAGACATATTATATAGTATAGGTACTACACTTAAACAAGTTTTGTTTCGCAAAACACCATACCACACATTTAGCCGACTGACCTCTAAACATTTCTTTCTGTTTTATACCATTGCTTACCAAGCCCGTAAAGTAAGCAACACCACATACTTGATTTTCAACATATCATTCAAATAAAAAAAAAATTGTTTTTAAATTGATATTACATAATGAAAAATAAAATTATATTGAAAATTTTAATGATCATTTAGTAGGATGAACTATTGGTTAGCCATCTAAAAAAATATCAATTAATGGATTAAAAAATATGAATGTATATTAATTTATCTATTACATAGAAAATATGTCACTGGATAAGTATAAAATAATATAGGTATTTGATTTGATGCACTGAATATTTTTATTATTATATTATGTAACTCACCAGATCTAAAAACTTAAAAGGTTTGCATCGAGACATTTTATTTAACCTCTCTTTGGACGTTTTTATAAGCACTGTCATGAAATAGTCAATAAAAAATCCAAATAATGTTTTTATCACGCTTCACTTCTTTCCCTTTTAAGTTTTATTATATACAGATTGACCTCTAGACATTACATTCATGTTTTTTACTCTTGAGTTCTTAAACACTTGAACTTCTGTTAAACCACCAGACCTTTAATATACATATTTAATGCATTATGCTGATATTTACATTCTAAACGTACAGTACGTCATTATCGGGTAATGGCATAGAAGGTGATTTCTGAACAAATAAGGATTTTAATTCAACCAATATCAAGACATAACGTACTACGTTTGATACATTTTTGTTATAGGTATCTACAATACACCAGACATTCGATATTTTAGCCTATCGGCTTCTAGACATTACGTTCTCTTTTAAACCATCGCTTACTAAACCTTTAAGTAATGATAATAATATTTTGTATTATCATCATAGCAGCAGTTATCAACCTACTTGTACCATGGTTTTTGATTGTTGTAGTTAAATAGCCATTCGTTAGCCGCTGTCAATATAGGGCTGTCAACTTACCTGTCATGACGGTGTGTAAGGAATGAAAATAAAAATTTTCCAAGCATTGAAAAATGTAGTAAAACTTATACCTAAAAAAAAAGGAAAAAATGTTTTTTCAAAATATTCATATTTTCCGAGAAAATGAGTTTCACTCTGTATATTCTGTAACAGGTTTAAAATATGAAAACCTACATTTTCATACGAACAATGATTAAATTTAATAGTTGTATGGTTGCAATAAATACGATAAATATTCTATTAAAGTTCAAAGTTGTATACTTATATTATGATTTTTCCTTAAGAGGGCGTCTCTTTCAATATTATAATAGGTGCTGTTACTCTAAAACCAAAATTAATCGAGATATTTTCAGTCTGCTTAAACATGTAGAGATGAAAAAACATTTTTAAATCGCTTTCAAGGATGCTGTGATAGTCCAAAAAATAAATTAACTACCAAAATAGAGTCTTAGTTATTGAACTAATAGTTACACATCACAGTTTGACCTTTAAATTAAGATTTTGTAAAAAATTGCCTATACTTTACTCCTTAAAAATAGGCGTTGCGATGCCTTCTTAAGATTTGGATGGTTGCTCAAAACTTATTAAAAGTCATTAACTTAAACGCGGCTGCTAGAAGTTTTGACATTGTATTAGGTTAGGTTAGGTTATATAAGAAAAACTGTTATAAATGGAAAAGAAAATTTGACTTTTTTTTTAACTGTATAATCGTTTGCTTTATTTTTTGGTTATAGGTATCGAAGCACCTCAGATAAACGAAGGTAACCACTAATCACAGTTTTACATGCATATTATAGAGGTATAGCTTGGTTAATTATGAACAAGTTCAACCAAAAGGGGGCAAGTTTTTGTTTTAGAATTTCTGTAAGACTAGTCTCATTGCTACGCTCAAAAAATAGAAATAAAAAAACAATTTTCAGGGTGAGGTTTTATTATATATTTTAGGCTAATCATAACGTATAATGGTTATGCACTAATAAAAATGTATTCTAAAAAAATTAATTTGTTCAAAGTTCTATAAAAATTTGGAACTAATCGACGGTAATACCTAAAGTTGGAGTATTTAACATTTAGAATTTCCTCTCAATAAAGTAGCTTTTAGGTACTAATGATAAGTTGTACAAAAATTGGCAAAATTGTAGTTCTTTAAAATGTAATTCAACTATATCACGCTACTAGCAACAAGATATTTTTAAACTTGTTTTTATTATTTTGTTTTTAAGCCGATTTTAATGACACTAATCTGACAAATTTGAGATGAAAAAGAAGACTATCAACTCTCCCAGCTATAAAAAAATTAATCCGTACTGTAATAAGTAAATATGCATATCAAATTTGTTTATCATTTTATGTATAATTTTCTGTATACATTAATCAATTAATAATAATACAACTATGGAGCGTTAACAACGTGGATACTGGATTTTTCTTAAAATACACTTAATTCAAAGATGCATTACACAGTAACATAAAGATGAGACTTTATCTTTTAATATCGAATGAGCTAAATTTAATTTTTTTGTATTTTTTAGGTGAAAAAGATCCAGATTTTGCA